AGTTTCGTGAAGTCGCTCATTTTGCCAAATAGTGATCGTACGTTTGATGAACAAATGGCACGGATAGACGTTTCCTGAGGTTTTGTGTTACGTAAGGCCACTTACCAGCCTGTTCGGTGTTTTCTGAGGAAACCTGATCTAGACGGTCTGCATCTTTTGTATTTATTTTCAACTTGACGACTGAACTGATAGAGAATGCCACTCTTGCGCGATAACACATAATGTTGCAAATTCTTTAAAGATTCCGGGGCGTACGTAATCATGAAAGCGATGAAAGAAAACTTGATTCAAACGATTAAATCCAATGTGTGACGTAAAAGTTGATAAATTTTTCACTGGAGCACAAAAATGTAGCACGGCCGAAATTTGAAGGCGCCGCTGCTGATGACTATTCCTCTAGAAGTAATCTGGTCAGGTAAGAAGTAACAAGAACCCCATTGAAGTCGGTTCGCGACCATGTCCTTCAGTATCTCCAATAAACCAGCAATTGAATCTTTTTAAATCCCAACCCGACAGATAGAAAGCAACTACCTAGCCTAACTATTCCGCGTATTTCAAATTGTCTCGTCTTCACATAATCTGTTGACCTGTACATGATGTCCTCCGACCTGAAGCGGCAACTCCAAATAAGATGTGGTGCAGTAGACTACTGCTACGCACGCATAACACGTATTCTAACAAAAAAACCAAGTGCGATAGGATACTTCACTGGGGTACACCCGGATATACGACGGCTTAACTCGGTGTCACCTAACAGCTCGCTTCGACTCTAACTGCGACAATCTACGTAAGTAGCAATGATGGAAATCCTCCAGTCGACAGACGTCTTTTACGCGCAAACCCGGAGTCTCACCAGAGTTGGGTACAAAAAGCTCAACTGATGAACGTACAAATGACAGCAGACTAAACCGCCTGTCCAAAGAGATACGAGGTTATTGCGATTAAACAACCAATCGATTACCGGGTTAGTAACACTGTGGGTATGCACTGCAAATTAGAAAGCCAATGAGCACGTTCCGTCACGTTTTCCGCGAAACGAGGTGAATTGATTACCTGATTCAGTTGATCATTCAATAGGTTCCGCTCTTCGGTCAGCACGCGTACATTGCTTTGGATCTGCAAAGGTACGAGAGTGAAAAACGTCAGAAATGGAGCCCGTGAATCACATTCATCTTAACAAATGGGAGGAAGAAGGGAGAGAGAGAGAGCTGTAATGGCATAGAGTTCATCCAGCCAGAACGAAAAGCATATGCTGGTTGGTTTTCTCGTTCCATATCAACACGTACCTCTCCCCACACATTAACTGGCAGCAAAATGCTGGAAAAGTGCATACAATCTCGTGTGATTCTTATGAGTTCCCAAAGAATTTTACATCGACAATGTTCGAGTTAAATGCCACAGGGCAAACCTAAACGGGCAGGGTTATGTGAAGGGTGACATATCGGTAAATGAAGAGAAGAACAACTGGAAAAAGTTTAGTATTAATCAGATGGAGTTGAATCGCGACTTTGAACAACAAACAGCGTTTATCTGTGAAATTAGATATGTATTCACGAATCAGTCGATTGGCAATTTGATTAATCTGATGATCGGCAGAAGTGGAATTACACACCTTCAACTTGTAATTTTGCAACAGGAACCCACCTGGAATATGTGGTTGACGTAAGGGTCGAAAAAGTGAATATCATATAAAGATGCCTTGTGAGCTGTGTACCGAAAAAAGGTTAGATAGCGTTCAACCACGGGTCGTCGTATCGGATTGTTCAAGCTTACAAAGCACAGCATTTGTTTCAAGCGCAGCTTACCGCAGCTTCCTTCCATCAAGATGCTAATCGGGTGCTAATTTTTATGCATGGGGATATGTTTTGTTTTTCAAACTCGCTACTTTTATTTATTCCAATAATCATTGGAATGTAAAAAGGAATGCGATTTCGAAATCAGGGAAAATCACATTTCCTTCAAATAAAATTAAATTTATTGAGATGTGGTTAAAAATTGCTTTAGCGAAAAAATGCGGACGGAAGAGTATCAGTAGAGGATAATGACAGTACACATCTCCGCTGAAAGAAGGGAGAGAAAACGAAGGACTCACCTCAACCAACTGACGCTCAAATTTGTCTAAAAGGGAGAGCAAACTATCTCGATCTGCACGCAGACGATCCAGTTCATCCGCGTCTGGCACCGAATGTTTTTCCTATATAACGGAAAACGAGAAGTAAAATTAAAAACCGAAATAGATTGAATTGCTTTTCAGTTAATCATTTTGGTTTGATAAAGCTGTAAAAGTGCAGCCCACGTCTGCTGCCGTTGGATTCAAAAAATGCAAGTTTGAATTTTTGAATAAAAACGTTATGGTTTCAGTACGCTCATGCTGACCGTAGAAAACAGAGATTTGGTACAATTAACATCCGAATTTTAAAAACACCTTATATATATATTCCCTTCACACAATTGAAAAAAGGATTACACTATTTTCATCAGTAGCTTTGTTTCGTGTGCATCCAGATTGATCAAATCAAATTATAAAACTGATTGAAAAAGTAAGCATTGTAAAGTCAAAGTCAAAGTTTTATTATGGGAATAACTTACAAGCTGGTGCTTCTCTTAACCCATAGTATGTTTACATAGATGAATCGTTACACATCAAAAAAAGAGTCACATAGGGATCCGGGTAGGAGATAATAGAGAATGTAGGCTGCAGTGAATCCCGTTTGCCTTTAGCGTACGAATGTGAGGTGTGCCAAGATTTTGTCGAGTC